TTGTTACTAGTAGCGTGGCACTTGTTTCTAATAGCTTCTTGTTACTAAATGCCAGAAACGACCTCAAACAATGCTGGAGTTGCCATCTTTGAGTCCCGCATGCTTTCCCATTCCTCCAGCTCTCGCTGCACGCGGCGCGCGGAACTGGAAGCCGACGTGTTCTTGGAGCGCTCCCGGCGCATTAAGGCCTGAACCTGGATATGTCTTAGACTCGAACAAACACCAAACAAGCAAAACCCTACAAATCTACAAAGACCCACATACGGGGCCGTCTCAAAAAGCTCTTGGGGACGTTAACTGGGTGGGTTTGGAGGGTCCAACTGCCAGGAAAACACCGCACATCATGCACATCCAAAGGAGTTCAGACGGATTTAGCTTCGAATCTTATAAGGTCCCAGGAGTGGATGACATGGGCACCCCAGAGCCCTTCCAATAACCACACCTGTGGAACTGCTGGAATTCTTCTTCTATATTATATATATACTGTATATATGATATAATATAATATATATGGTCTTTTTTCAGCAACCCCACCTCTGCTTCCGACATCAAGCCAGCACCAGCAGGCCCAAGGCCATCCTTTTCTTCATCTTCAGAGTTAGTGCCGTGAGCTGGCTGGCTATCTTGCTCTGTTTCCTCTGCATCCTTCTCTTTACTCCTTTTGCCTTTCCGCTTCTTCGTCTTCTGTGGTTTCACCTGGACCTGTGCAGCCGCCACCGTGGCATTCGGTGCCTTGCCCTTCTTGGCCAGTTGTTCCATGGCATCGTCGTCCGAAAGCGCGGTGTCTGCAGGTGTGGGGTACCAATTGCTTTGGAATTCACGTGGCTCCACGGCACCCAGCGGCTTTAAGCCCGCGCGGTTGGCTTTGGCCGGTGGGGGGGGCGCTTCGAAGGCGGAGGCCAAGTCCACCGGGCCGGTGTTGCGGCGCTCAGAGAAAGACCTGGGAGTGCTTGAGGGCGGGGGTCGAAGCGGGAGGGGTTCCGCCACGGGGCCAATGCCCATCTTCGCCAAGCGAGCTAAACGCTTCTTCTGGTCGAAGCTGACATCACCAAGCTCCATAATTCGTAGTCACCGGTAGTCGTGCCTTTCAAACACTGTTCACCGCATATTAGGCGCCATGGCGTGCAAGCGTCGTTTGTGGAGAGCCTTTGTCGATCTACTGTAAATGATGTGGGGAATGTCGGGGCCCATTCATGGATCATGCCATATAGCCATGTAGTTTCTTGGGGAATGATGTAAGTAAATGCTGTATCTTAAATGCTAGTCTGGGGATCTTTCGTGTGCCCAGGCTGGACAGCGGTGTTTACGAAGCTGACCAGCACTTCAAGACTAACCGACCTACGCCCATAGAGCACAATTCAAAGTTGCAAAGCTTGATGGATCTCTGCATTCTGAGGATTTGATTTCTTCGGATGTCATTTTAAACCAATCTTTGGACGCATGACGAGCCCCGAAAACGGCCGAACAAGGGCCCCAAAACAGTCACCGCTTGGATACTGAAGGATGGACCCTTGCGCTGTAGCTGCAAAAGCCCGCAACAAAGAACAAGGAAACAAAAACAAACAAACGTGATACAAACATGTCGATTCGGGGAAGTGTACCCTTGCCTGCAGGCCGCCAGCGATGATGCACCCACCTGGTACAGTAGAAATGGATGAACATGGTAATCTTAATGTTATATTCAACCATTGATTTAAAAAACAAGGATGCCCAACTGGTTACATACACTTTGACAAAAAAACTATCTGGAAGATTTGGAAGTGGATAGTCTGGCACCGAATTCTGAAATTCAACTAGCCAAAGTGCAACTGTTTCTGCGAATCTGTTGTGTCGTTTCGGCCGGACAAAAGAAGAAACCATGGCCGGGATGTATTTGCAGGATTTCTGATTTCTGCCGCCAACATGACCTAGATTCTAGATGACGCGACTCTATATTCCGAGTTGCTGGCTGCCTGATCTTCTGGCTGTATCCACCTGGTCCAGAGCTTAGGCGCGAGATGGCAAAGACCACGTTCAAAAGCTGAGGGAGGCCAACGCAGTCAATCCTCCACAGGACGGGTTCGCTCACATCCATTATTATCTGATACTTACAAACAGGTGTTCTTGGATGAAACTTTACTCACATGCTCTTGCAACTTGCGAATTGTTTTTGGGACCGGGGAAACTAAAAAACAAAACAAATGACCACCCAGGGTTCTTGGTCCACGTGTTCACCTGTTCCCCGGCGACGCGTTTGCACTTTCACACGGCCAACATGAACAACATGGACGCATCCTGGAAAGCGAAAGGCACCAATTGCCACCTTGATCTGACTGACATGCAAGAACGAATGTCAAGTTACTTTACTTCAAGTGATCCTCACCATGGCATGGTATTCTGCTGACAACCGACTGCTAGATTGCTTCAACACCACCAAGAAAGTGCAAGAGGGTGTCTATTGGGCAAAAAATGACATTCTATCATATTCTATCTTGCATGTTTCTGGCATTCTATCTGATCTAGCATATATTATGGCATTCTATCTAGCAAGTATTATGGCCACCTATGTGGCATCCATTGCGGCATGGTATCGGGATACATTCAGAGAAGCACAAGATCTCCTCCTGACGGCTCACATTCCATTTCTTGAAATCTGATGTGGGCATGGCAGGTAGCCATTTGTCAGCTCAACTGAAGATGTCCTTTTCTTCCAACTTGCTCTTGGTGCGTTCTGCCACAGGTGTTGGCGTATGTTGAAGGCCCTTCTGGCGCTGTCCCTGTGCCTAATCGGCTGATCGGTGCCGGTGGTGGTGGAAGAACATTCAAACCAGTCCCAGTCCCAGCTGGTATTCCTGGTGATCGTGACATGGGTGGTGAAGATGGAAAGTTCGAACAAGGAACTCCGGTCTCTCACCAAAACCTGAAATGGATACTCCAGGCAACCCTTCAGATGACACACTTGTGGTGCAGCTCGACCGATCACAGGAGTCCTCGAACGCGATCTCTGTGTCCACTCTAGCATTCAGATACTCTACTCTCGCCCTCAAGGCAGTGACTTCTCTGGTCAAAGTGTCCGACACGGAGACCTCAAACATGTTGCCGTCCAGCAAAAAGCTTTAAAAAACAATTCACTCTGTTCACGAAAGTTCCTCAAAGGTTCACAAAAGTTCTCCAAACAGTTGGGAACCACAAAAACCACATTCCGAACGTCTTCTAGTGTCCACGGCACCATCACAAACATTCTTCAAACACATGCATCTGTAGAGTTACAGGCGATCTTCACACAAGTGGTGTGGAGTCTTCGCTCCTTCAGTACCGTTGGCACTTTCCTGACATCTTCTTGCAGTCTATCTTGCATATGTGTTTGACATTATGTTTGCGATACGTCTGGGATATATTCTGGCATTCTATCTGGCACATATTCTGGAATTTATATGGCATAGTTGTTGACTTTATTTGTGGCATTCATTCTGGCATTCTATGTGGCATACTTTCTATCGGGTTCAGGTCCAGTGGTGCCCACTGCGATCTGGCGCTCACGGTTCGAGTCTGGTGGTGCCCACTGAACTCTGGAGCTCGCAACGAAGGAAGAGGAGGAGCAGGAGGAGGCGGAGGAGAAGGAGAAGGCGGAGTTGACAACTCTGATAAAATCTAACAACCCTCACCTGGCAGGTGGGGAAAAATGACAACGGTAGCTTTCAAATAAACTTTGGGACCTCAGAGCCTCAGTCGCTGTCCTTCCAGCTCAATCTCAAACATCACCGCAGCGGCGGCCCGGGAGCAGCAGCCCAGTCGAAATGCCCACAAGGCATGTCCATAGGCGGCCTGGAAATGCCGCGGATCCAAAAAACATCGAGGCATGAATGGAAGCACTGGAGGGGGGGTCAGGAACTTGCCACCAGGATCTCTTAGTCCATAAGTGATCGTGTCCGTCCCCTCCCTCGGTGAATCGAGGACCAAAACATGATTATAGATCTTATAGTCACAAGTCCCAGGGGCGGAATCCATTTGGACATCTGCCAGCTCCGCAGCAGAAATCAACTCCAAGGCCTGCGACCAATGGCCTGAAGCGCGGTCTGGAGATCTAGACGCGTGGTGCAAAGTCACTCCAGCCTTGCCCAAAAAATATACTGCAATCGTCTGGAAAAGCGGGAGAGAAGAGGAAAAAGCATAAAACAGCAAGGAACTGCTTTTGGCAGAGTGGTTGATTTTGTTGGCGCACCAAGCTGGTGTCATTCCAGGGCTAAAGTGTCAATTGAAGAAAAATAAAACTGTTCCGACTGCTTTCCAAATCCTGCCGCCCTGGAGGGAAAGCAGGTTGATTAACGGGAACATCCCAATTCCAGGCACTGAACTGGCCGCCACTCCCCCAACGCCTAAGGGCCGTTGTTCGCATTTTTTGAATTCAAAGGCAAATAACACGCACCACATGATCATTACGTCTCAAACGCGCGTCTATGTCTATGACGTGTTCATTTGCAGCCCAAAAAGTCCCAACATGTCGCACGTACAGCCTAAGAGTACTTGTTTCGAAAAGTGAGAGTACACAGGCAAACTTGTGGTCTGAAATGTTCAAGCATGGCCTCCTATGGTGCAACTGCTCACTGATTGCAGCATCCATCATACAATCATAGACCTAGCTGGACCCTTCAGTCAGTGCCCTAGAAATTGGGACGGGCATGTACCACCTCAACACCAAAAATACAACGGTATACTTATTTGCACCTCTTGGGCAGGCTCTCGAGATCAGACCGAAAGACCATGGCGGAGGCAACTGAACATGACGGAGTTGTAGCTGAGAAGGTTCGGCTGCAACGCCTGTCGGAGCTCTTTCCCTTTCTATCGGAGAAAGTGCGGCTCAAAAGACGCTAGAATCATAACTCTATTTCCATCCAACTCCGACAGCAGACCGGCTTTTCGCGATGCAATTGACCATTTTGCGCATGTTTTGCTTGCTTCAGTTTGTATGTACCAATCAACTACACATGTTGCAAGAAACATCATTATATAAACAACTCCATCACTTTAAACCATTTGAGGGTATTAGCTATATGACAGACTGAATCTACCCTGGCCTTCTGCAACATCTCCACTAGCAGTGACAATGCCAGCCTGGATGGGAAACGGCAAGTCTCTTTCATAGGGTGGAACATTCTAGGCCTCATGCCGTCAAACATGCCACTTCCACGCTGCTATCAAATCGGTCGAATACCCGCGATCAATACCATGATTCAACCTGACCCATCTGTCCGTTCATCAACACCAGCCCAGGCCCGGCCGGCCCAGTTTTCTTGACACCCAAGGAGCTGCCAGTTTTCACACACAGCGATCGCACTGCTAAAGGAGACCTCGTCTCGTTGAAGGCGCCAAAACGAAAAGCTGGTCAACCTCAGCGGCTCAAGGAGCTCATGAGGCCTAATCAACAAGCTACAAATTACTTCATGCTTTAGAATACCATCCGAAGCACACAAAAGCCGAAAAAAGTTTGGAAAACGGTGAATGAAAGCTGTTCCTTTGTCGTTCAAGTGCCTGGTGTGGTTTGGGTGTGTACGGGTGGAGTACTGTTTGTGGAAACATGTGGAACACCCGCCGTACCCAACCGAAATCCGTGAAAGTTTTGGGGAGTTTTGTTGAGAGCAGCACCTTGCCTTGCGCGTGGAGGTCCTTTTGAGCAGCAGCTCTGGCAAAACTGGCCAGGTCATGCCAGGTCAACTTGAACAAAATATGGACCAAGGAAATAAGGAACCTGGCCAGCATGCGCAAAACCCCACATCTTCCAGAAAGACTGTATGATCCCCCTTCGTACCGACCGCTAAGGTAGATCCCCAGGATTTTACGTATTAAAATCCTACTGAACCAAGGTGACTTTGTATTTTTTCATTGGTTCCCTAGCCTTTTTTTCCCAACGGGGGCTTTTTGTAAAATCCTTTGGACCGACGTGTGTTCAGGGGGTTGGTTGGGAACCAAGGAAAAAAACAAGGAGTCCAGGCTGATCAAACGTTTAGTAAAATCCTGGGTATCTACCTAAGCTGATCCCCTTCCAAGCGCACCGCACTGCAGGACTCCAATTCTGGTGTCTGACTCTGGTGTTTGCAAAGACATGGCCCGAATTCTTTGTCAGCTACCACTCCAAAAAATGCGACTGTACCATTGTTTACATTTAAAAACAAATGGTTACATGG